TTGTCCCATTTGTGGTCATATTGTCTGCATTTGGCCGATACTGGTTCGAAAGGGCTGGTTCTCGACCCCCGGGTTGCATACCTCCGGGAGGCGGCGGTAATTTGGTTTGAGACACAACGAGATCAGGTAAACGCCACTTCTGAAGATCTTCGTCCCAAACGCTTTCCATTTTGATTCTATCGATATTCGCGTAATTACAGTCCCGCCGAAGACAGGGCTCCACTTTCTCCAGAATTTGTGTCAGAAGTTTAATTTGTCCGACTTGTCGACGGATTGTCTCCAAATAGTCTATATTTGACGGCAATATTCATATATTTTCTAAATTATATACTAATAGATGAATATAGAAATGTTAGTAACAATACCTGTTCTGTCGGATTCAAATTCGCTTTGAAGATCATTCACTTCTTGTTCTAATCCCTGGATCTTTTTCTTCGCTTTTTTCAATAACACAGTTCTCGCCCTCAAGTCTTCAGTGATGTCACCGTAAGCTTTGAGAAGTAGTCGATCGTCGTTGTCGTCCAGCTTTGCCAGCGCTTCCGAAATGGCGTTTATCTTCTTTTCGGCGATTTTCTTCCGTTTGTCTCTTTTCTCTTTGAACTCAATATCGTTGGCCTTTTCTCCGCCAACCATTTGGCCCTCCAGTGCCTGAAGTCTTTCCATAGCCTGTGATTGCATTTCAATAATGTCTGTGCTTTGGATGTCATCGTTATGATTGTGATCAAGTGCTACACTCGATGTATGTTTGTCTACAGCTTTCTTATCATTAGACGACAAGTTTTCATAATTGGATTTCATTTTATTCATATCTTCTTTCAATTTAGCGTTGCTCTCCATTTCTTCCCTGTATTTTGCGGCCAAATCTTGCATTTTTAGGTCATATTCTTCTTTAATTTTTTCAATATCTTTGTTTGGAATCGAAGCTAAAATCCCGTAAAATTAAATAAGTTAAAGAAAATATATAAAAATGTATACAAGAAAGACGATAGACTCACGGTTTTCATTGATAACTTCGCCGGTCATAAGACTCTTAAGACGAATGATTTCCTGTTGGTATTCTCTGAGGAGAGCGTCTTTTGGATCTTCATTAATTTTAGGCTTATTCTGTATATTCTTGGCCCGATTTGCGTACCGCAATGTACTCAGGGTTTCGTCATAATTGTTATCAGCGGGTGAAAGGCATGCGATCATAAGTGTCTTAGTATTGCCGCCCAGACTGTCCTGTAAGAGTCGGGTTAGCTTTGAATCCCTGTATGGGATGTGTTTGCTTTTGCCGTCGACGAGCGCTGATATGACATTGCCTAACGCCGAAAGCGATAAATTAATTTTTGTGGCCTCTTTCAGACGGTCTCCGGTGGCGCCTGTCTTAGTCTGGCGCTCACTTCCGGCCAAATCAACTAAATTCAGTTTCCCTTTCCTTATATTGTTGTCATCACTCACTTCGGTCTCCATTCGCTCCAAATATATGGTGAATATTGAATGACTGCGCGAAGAGTCAGCGTTCATAAGAGTGGCGCCGACCGACCGGTTCTTCCACCCCCTGTCCATAATCTGTTCGCAACTCTTAACGTTGTGGACGGTATGCATCGACAGGTTTGTCACATACACTCCGGTGTCGTTATGCTCTTTCA